CCCCCCTCCCCCACCATGTCATCAGTGGGGTTCACTGCCATGACCTTGTACGCTTTTGCATTAAGTTTGCTATATGAATGCTTCTGGGAAACAGGGTTACTTTTCTGTTGGTATTTTCCTTACTGTTTGTTGATTGGTTTATTTGTTTGGTTTGAAATTTGATTTGTTTTAAAGCTTGGCCATCATACCCCACTCCCTGCTATCCAGTCAACAGTGGCGCTTTTGCAAACTGCCTAATGCTAAGTGTTTGGGTTCTGAAGGGGGAGGGGGTGTGGGGTAAAGATTTTTTTCAGTTTCATGTAACAATACAGGTATACCAGAGACATCTCAGGAATCCTACCCTTGAAAGTCTCCCAAACTTGGTGCACACAGCCCCCCACACAGTTACTTCTGTCTGTGGCTGTTCCCTCCACCCTGACCTCTGCCTCCATTTCCTCTAATTCCTTGGCACCTGGGCACTTGGACACTTTTAGGAGAAAACCCTCAGGTACTGAAATAGCGCAGTGTTGAGAACAAGTGGAGAGTGGCTGCAGTGAAAGCCTGGTATCACATAGGTGTGCTTGGGCACTTGCACTGTTTCCCTGTCCTTGAGACATACAAGTCACGCTTTCAAGAGTCAGGAAATGAAGGTATCCCTGAGAATAGCCTAGACTTTAGAGGCAGTGACCTCAGTAGAAACGAAAAGCAGTGAAAGCTGTTCTTCTTGAGTATCTTTTGCCCAATCTCTTTCCCATAACCTGATTAGATCAATTTTGTTTTTCAGTGATCCCACCCAAGAGAGGCTGCACTAGTTCCCCTAATGGTGCCCTTTTTGTGAGCAAACAAAAGCAGAGCAAGCCTCCCTTCTGCTCGTCTCAGTTATACATACACATACATGTCCACACATGTATATGTACACACATTTTTAACAAAGGAAAGAAAACCTGTCCCAGAAGAAAGTTTGAAGTCTGCATCCAGGTAGCTGGTGTCTGAGTAGGCACAGGAGGTTCACAGCAAAGTAGGTGGGGATGCCATTCTTGGGTCCTGGGGAGCTATAGTTTCTAAACCAGACATGGGACGAGTCCTTCCAAACTTCATGTGTGAGAAGTGGAAGGGCCGCCCTCTAGTCTGTCCATGAGGAAAGTGAAGTTGCTCCCTTTATGTGACTTTCTCTCCCTTTTATCCAGTCGGAGTCTAACCAGTCGGAGGCATCTGTCCGGAGGGAAGAGTCACCCATGGATGTGGACCAGCCATCTCCCAGTGCTCAAGATACTCAAACCATTGGTCAGTCCTACTTCCTATTTCCAGCCCAGCACAAGGGAGGGCCAGTCTTAGGAAATGGCTGCTGGATCACCTGCTCTCAACATACATAAGCTCAGTGCTTTCCGATACATAAATTGTTAGGATTAAACAGGTTAATGTGTGTATAGCACTTAGAGAAGCTCTTGTCACGGAATGAATGCTGTTATTAGTAGCATTTCTCAAAACTAATCATACACACCACAAGTGCTAGAGCCAGGATTCAAGCCTAAGGCTGTCAGCCTTGAGGAATGGCCAGGATTTGGTTTGAGAATGAAAAACAAAGGTCAGGAAGAAGTCTAAGCAGGGCAGGTGTGTGGTGGAGAGGTGGGCATAGAGAGAAAGGAAGAAGGGTTTGTGAAAAAGCAGTTGCTTCTTTCCCATCCAGAAAACGAGGCTGCATTGTGCTGCTTGGCTACTGGGCAGAATTTAGAACGTATCTCCGATGGATACCAGGAAAAGAGTGAGACATGAGGGTCCATCTATCACACCATGGCTTCCCGGGATTTTTTTTTTTTTTTTTTTTTTTCACTGTCCCAGGACAAGATGACTCATGGAAAATGGCATCAGACTCAACCCTGTCCTTGGAAAAGAAAATAGGGGGAAAGCAGCCTGCTTCCAAGGGCAGCTGTCAGAATTTAATGAGGATAATGTCCTAAAATGTACTTTTTAAACTAGAATGCAATCATCTCAAGTACCACCACTGTTGGATTCCCCTTGGGGACCCATGGGTGTCCTGGAAACTGGTGAGACAGGACTAGATGGGCACTGTCCAGTGGGACTTTCTGCCGTAGCTGTTAGCCACATGTGGCTATTGAGTGTTTGAAATGTGGATCCTGCGACCAAGGAACCAGATTTGTCATTGTTTTCATTTCATTTCATTTCATTTTAAAGTTACATAGCATCCAGTGCAGAACTAGACCTTACTCTCAGATGTTGCTCAGTGAGTAATAGTGGCTTAAGGGGCCAGTCTCCCGTGATCTCTCTAGTAGTGTTTGGTCTGGAAAACATCTAAAAGGGAGAGAAATCTCAAAGGGTTTATGACTCTTTTCTGTGTGTGCAGTAGCTTCAGATGGAACCCCACAGGGGGAGAAGGAAAAGGAGGAGAGGCCGCCTGAATTACCGCTGCTCAGTGAGCAGCTGAGCCTGGACGAGCTGTGGGACATGCTGGGGGAGTGCTTAAAGGAACTGGAGGAATCCCACGACCAGCATGCGGTGCTAGGTGAGTTGTCTGAGCATCCAACTGTCAACTCATGTTCTGCTTGGAGCCTTCTCTGCCAACTTGCTTTCCTGCCTTCTGGCTCAGTGTCTCTGTGATGAGAATTCAAAACAAAGTTGTTTTTTCTCTGACCTTGGTATCATAAAAAAGATTGGCCTTCTCTCTTAACATCTCCTGTGTTTTGGTGTTTAGACCAGCGGAATCTTGATAGGCAAATGGCCCATCCCATTTTTCTTTGAGTTCAAGGAAGTTGTGACTTCCTCTGTGGCTTTGTTCTGCCATTATTATTTCTCTGCAAGTTTTCTTTATTTCTTCCTCCACCTTAGATTTTTGTAATTTGTTTGTCAAAGTGAAGAGGTTTCTAGAGTGGGGCTCATAAAAGTCACTTTGCTTTCATTCCTGCCTACAGTGCTGCAGCCTGCCGTCGAGGCCTTCTTTCTTGTCCATGCCACAGAGCGCGAGAGCAAGCCTCCTGTCCGAGACACTCGAGAGAGCCAGCTGGCACACATCAAGGACGAGCCTCCTCCACTCTCCCCTGCCCCCTTAACCCCAGCTACACCCTCCTCCCTTGACCCCTTCTTCTCCCGGGAACCCTCATCTATGCACATCTCCTCAAGCCTTCCTCCCGACACGCAGAAGTTCCTTCGCTTTGCAGGTACAGAGAACCCTCAGACCCCCACAAGTAGTAGAAGCCTTCATCTGATACAGGGTCGTGTTCGTACGTTTTATCCTTAACTGGTTCAGGAGAGAGAGAGGGATGGGGGTATGTGTGTATTAGAAGTTGAACCAAGTCATTACGGAAGCCCTTGTGCTACTCTAAGGGATTTAGATTTTACCCTGAAGCCATAGGAAGCCAGGTGTGGGTAGAAATGGTCAGAGGCACATCCACCCCTCGAGGCTGATCCCTGGCTTTGGTGAGTTCCTTTTTCAGGCCCCTGACAAAAGGGAAGAAAGAATGACTGGCTGGTTGGCTGTCTCATAGCCTTCTGGGACCCATGGAGTGCTGATTGCTGCTGTCGTTTGTCCCCTCAGAGACTCACCGCACTGTGTTAAACCAGATCCTACGGCAGTCCACCACCCACCTCGCCGACGGGCCTTTTGCTGTCCTGGTGGACTACATTCGTGTCCTCGACTTTGATGTCAAGCGCAAGTATGTGCCCTTGATGTTGGGGGATCAGGAGCTCCCCAAAGAGCATCTCCCCTCCCAGAAGGGAGTTGCTCCTGGGGCCAGAAGTTTGTCTTGGTGGCAGACACGCAGAACAGTGCTGGTGGGGAAGGAAGACACTCAGCTGAAGCCATGCCACTCACTCTCCCTGCCTTCTGTACCCCTTCTCCATTGTTATCAGCAAGATCAGAGCCACGTTATTTCTAAAGACCATTCTGTCCATTGGTGTAGTGAAGGAGGGGCAGGTGGCAGGCCCCCCTCAGCTTCTACAGACTCCCAGGTCAGCCCTGCTCTTCCTCCCTGTGCACAGACACATGCTCCCCTGTGTGCTATAGAATTCCATGCCATATCTCCGTGGCCACTCATTCAGTGGAAATGGAGAAAATTTAGAGTTAGTAATGAATGAGCTACCTTCCACACCACCACCAACTACCAGGCACTTCCCAAGTGGGTAGGGAGGCAGAGGTGGCAACATTGTGGGTCTTTTAAAAAAAATGTATTTATTTATTTGAAAGAGTTACAGAGAGAGAGAGAGACAGAGATCTTCCATCCACCAGTTCACTCCCCAGATAGCTGCGACGACCAGTGCCAGGCCAGGCCGGAGCCAGAAGCCAGGAACATCATTCAGGTCTCCCACATGGGTGGCAGGGGACCAAACACTTGGGACCATCTTCTGCTATTTTTCCCAGGCCATTAGCAGGGAGCTGGATCGGAAGTGGAGCAGCCGGGACTTGAACCTGCACCCATGTAGGATGCCAGCACTGCAGATGGTGGCTTTACCTGCTACACCACAGTGCTGGCCCCCATTGCGTCTTTATCCTAGTCAAACGGAATTTGCTCTGCCACCCTCAATCCTATTTTCCTTCCTTTCCTGCCTCCCAAGGTATTTCCGCCAGGAGCTGGAGCGTTTGGATGAAGGGCTCCGGAAAGAAGACATGGCTGTGCATGTCCGCCGTGACCATGTGTTTGAAGATTCCTATCGTGAGCTGCATCGCAAATCCCCTGAAGAAATGAAGAATCGATTGTAAGAACCCTGAGAAGAGAACAGATTGGGGGGCTGGTTGGCAGGGTGTTTCTAAACAGTAACAATTTCTTCCTCTGGCCTCTGATTTAGGGTTGTTCCTCCCCTCCCCCCATGAGTCTGGTTTAGGTAATCTCGCTGAGCTTCTCCCATCTTCTGGGCTTGCGCCACTGTCATACTAGGGATAGGAAACCTGGGGAGCCGGTACTCCGGCGGGTGGGGGAGGTTGTACTTGGATGAGTGGTCCCCGACCACTGCATGGGTGCTTCTGAAGGCAGGAGGTTGGCGGTTGACCAGGAAACCAAAGTTCCCCGATTGTGCCCTGCTCTTCTAGCATGCCCCACTTCCTCTCAGTGGCTTCATTTAGGCCTCTTAACCTTGCCTGCTGAACGTGTTTTCTGGAATATTGGCACATCTGTACTGATATTTCAGGACCTCTCTCCCATCCATCAGGGATGGGTTTGTGTGTGTGTGTTTTTCTGTCCCAGCTCCCCAGCCCCTCTTTGGGCTCTCCTGGCACTCTGAGGTCACCTCTCTATCTGTAGACACTGCACTCCCCAAAGACTTCTGCACAGCACTTCTGTCTCTGCTCTCTTAATGCAGGTATATAGTATTCGAAGGAGAAGAAGGGCAGGATGCTGGAGGGCTCCTGCGGGAGTGGTATATGATCATCTCTCGAGAGATGTTTAACCCGATGTATGCCTTGTTCCGTACCTCACCCGGTGATCGAGTCACCTACACCATCAACCCGTCTTCCCACTGCAACCCCAACCACCTCAGCTACTTCAAGTTTGTTGGACGCATTGTGGCCAAAGCTGTATATGATAACCGCCTCCTGGAATGCTACTTCACTCGGTCCTTCTACAAACACATCTTGGGCAAGTCTGTCAGGTGAGGATGTGGTACAGTCCTTGCACTGTCCTCAGCCCTGGAGGTCAAGTCCTTGTGTTCCACTGCTGTATGTCCTCCTCCCTTCCCCCCGGCCCATGACCCCTCTCTCTGTTTTTTAGATACACAGATATGGAGAGTGAAGATTACCACTTCTACCAGGGCCTGGTTTATCTGCTGGAAAATGATGTCTCTACACTAGGCTATGACCTCACCTTCAGCACTGAGGTAGGTCAAGACAGTACATCCTGACCAGCCTAGGAGATGTGATTTGGGATCACCTTGCAGTTGGCCCTGGATAATGTCTCATAGTTCTAAGGGGGCCTCTTCTTACAGTTCAGTGCCCCATGCACCATGAGACAGAGTGTGGCAAGTGTTCACGTGAGACATCGTGAACAGAAAAACCAGAATGCATGAAGCAATCCAGGCTGTTTACTGATTTCCCCTTTATTAAAAAAAATGCTGTGGTACATAATAATTCTTTCCCCAAAGTAATTCACTGTAAAAAAATTATACAGAGAAAAATGAAAAACAGAAAATATTTGAGGCTACTCTTCCCCCAAATTGTTTTCCACAAAGATTGTGCCCTGTGCACTTTTCCCTTATTGTCTGCTGCCTTTATGTGTTTTGGGGCATAACTTCCCTCTTTCTGACCCTGAGCCCTTGCCTGCTAGGGGAGTTGTAGGCTACTAGGAGCAAGGACTGTCGCTGTTCCAAATGGGCTTGCCTTGCCCTCTGCCCAGCACCTGGCAAATGGGTTCCCAGGCACCCATGGTAGCCCCACCCTAGACTAAGCCTGATACGTATAATTGGTGTTTTGGGTTTTCCAGGTCCAAGAGTTTGGAGTCTGTGAAGTTCGTGACCTCAAACCCAATGGGGCCAACATCTTGGTAACAGAGGAGAATAAGAAGGAGTATGTACACCTGGTGTGCCAGATGAGAATGACAGGTAAGGGAAATGTCCCTCAGACCTCCAGTTGCTCAACTTGGGAGGAAGTCAGATTTCATTCATTTCACAAGCATTTTTTGTCCTCTTCCCCTATGGTACAGCCATAAATGCCTTGCACAAAAGGAGTCCAAAAAAAAAAAAGTCAAGATACTTGGCCAAAATTATTTAACCTCCTTTCTCATATAAGGACCTAGAAGTAGAGTAGTAGGAGAGAAAGACAGTCCAGTCAGCACCTCATAGCATCAGGAGCTAAACTGGGGATCTGTGACCTCTAACAGTCGCAGAGTTCAGAAGCCCCGTGGCTTTTTTGTTCTCTCCCCAGGGGCTATCCGCAAACAGCTGGCTGCTTTCTTAGAAGGCTTCTATGAGATCATTCCGAAGCGCCTCATTTCCATCTTCACCGAGCAGGAATTAGAGCTGCTCATATCAGGACTGCCCACCATTGACATTGATGACCTGAAATCCAACACTGAGTACCATAAGTACCAGTCCAACTCTATTCAGGTGAGCTGCTGCTGGCATCCCTCCATGAAGGGTCCTCTGAGCCCAAGCAGTGCCAAGTATATGATGTCAAATAAACCAGCACTTTCAGAGGAAGGGGACTGTGGGTGGCAGTTTACCTGTACCTAACTCTTCGTTCTTCCAGAGCATATTTTCAGAGGATGTTCTTGCCCAGCTTATGAACGAAAGATCTGAAGCCCATCGCACAGAAGGGACTTGCCTGAAATCCCAGATACCCTCCTGGTTCCCAAATTCCATCCCTCCTCACTCCTCTCCTAGGAGCTCTTTTCCTAACACCAGCTTCCTGGTGTCTATCCTGCAGATCCAATGGTTCTGGAGAGCATTGCGTTCTTTCGACCAAGCTGACCGTGCCAAGTTCCTCCAGTTTGTCACGGGTACATCCAAAGTGCCCCTACAAGGCTTTGCTGCCCTCGAAGGCATGAATGGCATCCAGAAGTTTCAGATCCATCGAGATGACAGGTCCACGGATCGCCTGCCTTCAGCTCACACATGGTAAGAGAAAAGGCTTGTTTCTCCTTTTCAGCATTCAGATCAAGCTTGCATACTTTGACGCTTCTAGGTCTCTACCCTGCCCAAGGTTGGGAACACAAGTCTGGCCCAGTCCAGGATCTTGGATAGTTTACAGTTTGGTGGTTCGACGGAGAAGGTGATGTTTAAGATGGGAGGACGGGCAAGACAGGAAGTGGGGGCTGGGGAGACATTGGCAGGTAAGCTCCACCCCAGGGGAGCATGGTGTGTTCCAGGACTTGGCATAGCTGGAGCAAGGAGAAATGCAGGGAGCAGGAAGCTGTAGAAGTCAGAGCACCAGTGACCCTAAATACCTCTCTAGAGTTGGTACTTTAAGCCCATCCCTGTAGGTAAGGCAGTAATGTTGAAGGGAGAGTGACAGGGTCAGGTTTGTTTTTAGTGCCTGCTGGCCAATGGCAGAGCCAGCTTAGAGAACAGCAGGCCAGGCGAGGACAAGATTGGGAATCAGCTAGAATTGAGGCATAGGCTGCCTCAGGGAGGGAGAGTCAGGTGGGAATCCAGGGGTTTATTGGGTTGTTGTCTTTCTTCGTGAACTGGTCTTTCTTCTTCCCCTAGTTTTAATCAGCTGGACCTGCCTGCCTATGAGAGCTTTGAGAAGCTCCGCCACATGCTACTATTGGCCATCCAGGAGTGCTCTGAAGGTTTTGGGCTGGCCTAAGGAGGCCCTGCCCACATCTGTGGGGTTTTTCTACCATTGTTGGACCTGGGGAGGGGGGAAATTTAAAAAGAACCAGAAAGAAAATGTCAGAAACCAATAAATGAAATCCACCAACTCACCGTGTGTGTCCCAGCTGCCCCATCTTCCCCAGTGCAGACCTGGTGCCCTTCTCCTGCTCATTCTCTCTCCTGCCCTCCCATTTCCTCACCTCCTCTCCCCTTTCTGTGCCGTCCATGATCCCCCACCCCATGTGTTAAAAAAGGCGGTAGCCTTTGCAGGGACCTGTTTGTCCCAACTGTTTGAACAGTGTGCTCCTCAGATTCTGTGTTCAGAAGGATTTGCTGCATTGAGACTTGAAACCTTTGGATAGGGGAAAAATTATATATATATATATTTTTTTGTTCTGTTTGCATTTCTTAATTTGTGCTTGGAATGTGTTGATGTGCACAGCTAATGATTCAATGCGAGACAAGATTGGCGTCTGTGTTGTGGAGGTTTCAAATAAAGAGCACTCTTCATAACTCACCTTTCACAATGGAGTTTTTTTCAAAAACAAAAAACAAACAAACTCAAAAGCACATGCTAGACATCTGGAGAAACGAATCCAAATGGGCTCTCCAAGAAAGCATCTCTGTCCTACCCACTCGCCCATCCGCCTCTACCACTGGAGCAACTTCCTCCTTCCAAGCTGGTTCCCCCGCAGTCAGGAGAGATCGGCATCCACCCAGAACCGGGGTGCAGTTCATTGTGTAGAGTGGGACCTGCGCCTGCGCCTGCGCCTGCCGGCCACGATGGCATTAGAGATCGGAGCCAAGCACAAAGCGTCACCTTGCTCAAGGGGAACCAAGCGCAGCAGGTTGTACAAAATTGTCAGAGAGCTCACTCATCCCTCCCAGGGATTTCACCTGGGCGGGCAGTCTGCATAATCTCCAGTCTGGGGCTCAGTTGCAAATCTTGATTTAATTTGTTGATGGTTTAGTTCATTTCTAATAAATTTTAACAAGCAAAGAATTTGACTAGCTCGCCAGATTACCGTTCTTTTTGTTTGTTTTTTGTTTGGTCTCTTCCTCTTGTCATCTGCCTGCCTGTCTGCCAGTCTGCTCACAGACCACCTAGGAGTTTCTTGTGGTTTTTACTCCATCCAGCACTTGAAGCTGAGCCAAGGACTTTTGGTGGTCCAGCCTTCAAAGAAAAAAATAATTTAATAAAACTTTAGTTAGAAAAATTCACCCCAAGTTGTGCTTGCTTTGTGTGGTTTTTCTTATTCTGTAAGGTGCTGTCTCTGAAAGCGTCTCCCCACGGCTCTCCAGAGTGGGTAGAGGTGCGCAGGGCTGTGCCCTGTGCAGATGGCCGCTGCACTTACTTCATATTCACAGTCTTCTGTAACTGGCCTGCGCCGATACTGGGGAAGGTGGCTGCAGTGCCCCGTCACTGTTCCTGGGCTGCTAGTTGAGAAGAGGAGATGGTGATCAGCTCTGATGGATGCAGAAGGCCGGAAGGGTTGGGACAGGCATCCCATTGTCACTGGCACTTGGGTTGAATCATCACGCTAGAGAAGGCCCGGGGCGGGCCGGGGGGCGGGGGGGGTGGGGGTTGAGATAGCAGGAGTTTCCTTTATAGGACCTGGTGTGAGTGAGCAAGGATGGATGGTGGCTTGAGATGAGGCTGGGAGCCCAGGAGGGCATTAAAATGGAAAGAATAAGCAAGAAGACAGAATTGCATAAACAAGAACTGGTTCTTCAAAATAAAGTAGAACAATGTTCGTATGGGTCATTTAAATTTGAGAGGGACCCATGAGTTGGAGTTTCAGAGTTGCCTGTGGGGGCTGGAAATGCAGATGGAATGATCCTGAAGGAAATGGAAGGAGAGCTAATCCAGTGGCACACTTCCAAGATTGAGATCTAGGGGGACAGTACTGTAGCATGCACGGCAGCTTAGGACAGATGTCACTGGCCTCCGATATCAGGAGTGCTGATTGGAGTTCCAACTACTATGCTTCTGACCCAGCTCCCTGCTTAATGTGTCTAGCAAGGAAGTGGATGATGGTCCACATGCTGTGCCCTTCCTACCACCCATGTGGGAGGCCAGAATGGAGTTTCAGCTTCCTGGCTTTGGCCTGCCTTTTGCAGGCACTCAAAAAGTAAACCAGTGGATGGGAGATCAATCTGACTCAAAATAGTTTAAAGGTTGTTTAAGATTCACTTTATTTGAAAGAGCAACAGAGACAGATCTTCCATCTGCTGGCTCACTTATGGCTGCAATAACCTGATCTGGGCCAGGCCAAAGCCAGGGTTAATACTCCGTCCTGGTCTCCCACATGGTGGCAGGAACCCAAGTACTTGGGCCATCATCTCTTTTCCCAGGCTCATTAGCAGGAACCTGGACTGGAAGTGGAGGAGCTAGGACTAGAACCGGCACTCCAGTATGAAATGTGGGCTTCCAAGTGATGACTTGTGGGGAGCAACTCGGACTAGACTAAGTTACTGGAATTAAGACTTATTCTATGCATCTGCTCTCCCACAATATGGCGCTGAGAAGGGAGAAACAGCTTCTACTCAGCTGCCTCCAGTTCAACCAACAAGCTGTAGGAGCTGCTCCTGATTGGAGGAGAGCAGCGTACTCGGCGTGTGGGTAGCAGAGTTGGGATTGGTGGAAGAGGACTATAAAGGAGGCGAGAGACAATATGCACCAGGAACATCTAAGGGGAACATCTATCTGAAGGAACACCTGTGCAGCCCCCGAGAGAGCCAGCCGGCGGTGTGCCGCTCCCCCGCGGAAGTGGGGAATGTGGCAGGGGGAACCGCCCTTCCACGGAGGTGGAAGGGATAGTAGCCAACCCGGGAAGAACCAGCAGCAAACCCAGGGAGGGCCGAGCAGACAAAAGAACAGCGCAGGGTCCTGTGTCGTTCCTCCACGAAGAGGGGGAGCGACAATGACTGAACCTGCCGTGTCACAAGGCACAAGTAGGAGAACTTGAATTTGAATGCTGCTTCAAGATTATTTGGAGGAGAGCACATCCATCTGCTTGCTTGTTCCCCACATGACCACAGTGGCTGAGGCTGGAACAGGCTGAAGCCAGGGGAGTGAAACTCCTCTCCCTTGTGGATGGCTGAGTGTCCAAGCTGTTGGACCATCCAGTTCCTTCCCGGGTGCACTAGCAGGGAGCTGGATCGGAAGCGGGGCAACTGGGACTGCAACCAGCACTCTAATACGGGTTGCTGGCATCACAAGTGGCAGCTTAAACTGCACCATAACACCGGCCCCTGAGTAAGAATTTTAACAGAGGGGCTGGTGCTGTGGCGCAGTACGTTAATCCTATGCCTGCAGTGGTGGCATCCCATTGGGGCACCAGTTCTAGTCCTGGCTGCTCCTTTCTGATCCAGCTCTCTGCTGTGGACTGGGAAAGTAGTGGAGGATGGCCCAAGTGTTTGGGCCCCTGCACCTGTGTGAGAGACCTAGAAGCTCCTGGCTTCTGACTTCGGATTGGCCCAGCTCTGGCCATTGCACCCATTTGGGGAGTGAACCAGCAGATGGAAGACCTGTCTCCCTCTCACTGCCTGTAACTCTACCTCTCAAATAAAGAAAATATTTTAAAAAATTTAACAGTTTTATTGAACACTTACCATGTATTAGCAATGCTGAGAAGCCTCTGCTCTCAAGACTCATTGAAGAAGGAGGCAACCGTTAAGAGCACAAGGACAATAGTACACAAAGGGACTTAATAAGACCAGGTTAGTGAGATTAATAATCTTCCCAAACGCAATAACCAGTCATAAAACTTAATAGCAAATAGATTCCATTCACAAAAGCTAATATTTAATATTACATATTTGGGGCTTTTGCCCATGGTTCCTGGCTCATTTCCTCCCCAAGGTGGACCACAGAAACTTACTGATCATGTGACCATCTTCACTCCCGAAGGGTCCTGCCCCGCGCCCTGGAGGAAGGAACACTGCAGAAGAATCTAAACACAGGCCCTGCTGGGTTTCCCTGTGCAGCCTATCAGCTATCATGTCCATGCAGTGAAGTCTCCCTAAAAACCCAGGGATGGCGTTCAGGAGGAGGATGGGCCCTAAAAGGGCCTGGGGCACCAGGCCCCTTCCCTCTTATCTCACTCATGCCTCTCTTCATCTACCCGCTGCAATAAACCCACCAACGAATTTCTCTGGCTCCTGTGAGACACTCGAGCAAATTGATGGAACACGAGGAGGAAGTTATGGGAACCTTGATGGCCAGAGGCACAGGTAAAGCCACCTGGGGCTTGCGAGTGGCACCCAAAATTGGGAGAGGAGTGGTCTTGGAGATTGAGGCCTCCACCCATGGGGACCTGATGCTGTCTCCAGGTCGGTAGTGTTTGAAATGAATTGGAGGACCCCAAAGGTGGTGTCTACTGCTGCAAAACAAAGCACTACTCTACTCACTGTTGCTTATACCCTCCTCCATCATTCAGCTGTGCACCTGCCATGTGCCAGACTGGGGGTGCTGCAGTGAACACATTAGTCGGAACGGCTTACCTCCCTGAGGCTAACGGTCTAGCAGGGCAAGCAGGGGTGTTGACATCCTCTTCATCTGTGAAGAAAAAGCAAAGGGAAAGAGAGGAGAGGCTATTTTAGCGGGGGTGATCAGAGGAAGGTCTCCCTGAGGAGGTGACATTTGAGTAAGGGAGACTAATTTGAAGAACCGAGGATATAAGCCACTGGTGGGTCCCAAAGAACAGTATTCCAGGCAGGGGGAACAGCCAGTGAAGGGCCAGTGTTGGAGTGCCAGTCCTGGCTGCTCCGCTTCTGATGCACCTGGGGAAACAACGGAGGATGGGCCAAGTGCTTGGGTCTGGGCCACGTGGGAGACCCAGATGGAGTTCCTGCCTCCTGGCTCCCGCCTGGCTGTTGCAGCCATGTGGGGGAGTGAATCAATTAATTCTCTCTCTTTCCTTCAGATAAGTAGATAAATCTTTTAAGAAAAAAGAAAGGCTGCTAATGGGATAACATGGACCCTTTAAGAAAGACCAGGTGGGAGTGGAAAGTGGTATAGGAATCAAGCAGGCCAAAGAGGCCACATCCGGGGTTTTATTCAGAGTAGGATGCAAAGTACCACAGGGCACTGCGCAGAGGCCTTGTCATCTGAACCTCACAGGGTGCTGTGGAGAGAGGAGGGGCCAGGTGGAGAGGCCCAGAAAGCCTCAGGAGGCAGCCCAGAAGTGACCTGCCCAGGGGCGGACCCCCAATCCAACTCCCCGCTAATGTGCCTGGGAAAGCAGCAGCAGATGACCCAAGTGCCACCTACGTGGGGGACCCCGACAAAGCTCCTGGCTGCCCGCTCCCCCTATACCCCACCCCCGCCCAACCCTGGCCCTTGCGGCGATTTGAGGAATGAACTAGCAGGTGCAGGTGGAAGAGCTCTCTCTCCCTTTGCCTTTCAAATAAATAACTTTAAAAAACTATGAGTAAGAGATTTTTAAAAAGAAGGAAAAGATCCTAGCTTCAGTGGACACGCCCACTCCACAAAAGCGGCCACCTTAGGAAGCAGAGGCGGCCCACCCAGCCCTCTGCCCCAGTCTATGCCGCCAGATCAGCGGCCTCACTCCTGCGCAGGAGGCCTAAAGCCAATGGCAGGGCACAAACTTGGCTCCAGGGCGCTCGGTTCCCCACCTAAAGGGGCGGGACTCAGCGGCTTCCCGCGAAGGCACCACCCAGAGCAGCCCCGCCCAGGGCTCCTTCCGGGCCCCCTCCTCTCCAACCCCGCCTCCTCCGGGGAAATACGTGGGACTGTGTTCCTGATTGGATAAACTGGAGAAGGGCGGGTTCTTTCTGTGTCTGGGAGGTTGTGTATAGCCTAAACTGCGAGTGCTCGCGTAGGACTGGGCGTGGCTGCTCCCATGGCTGTGTGTAACCAGATGGGCTTGCTGGGGAGCGTGGGGGCTGGCTCTGAGTGTCTGGTTCTAGGAGAGGACGTGTGTGTCTTTCCACGCATGGCCGGGTCTGGTGCCTTCCCTTATAGTGATCGTGTGAATGTCAGTAAATACGTGAAAAAGTGGCTGTGGCTGTTTCTGGGACAAGGGATGTGTCAGTCTTCATATATGTATGTTATCTGTGACTGTGTGAGCACATGTCTGCGTGGGGTTGCCTTTGTATTTGGAACTGACCTTTTTTAAGAATTTTTTTTTTATTTATTTGAAAGGGTTACAGAGAAAAGTAGAAACAGAGAGAAAGAGGTCTTCCCCAAATGACCGCTATAGCCAGAGCTAAGCTGATCCGAAGCCAGGAGCCAGGAGCTTCCTCCTGGTCCCCCTTGCAGGTGCAGAGGCCCAAGGACTTGGGCCATCATCTACTGCTTTCGCAGGCCACAGCAGAGAGCTGGATAGGAAGAGGAGCAGCCAGGACTTGAACCGGCACCCAGATGGGATGCTAGTGCTGCAGACCAGGGCTTTAACCCGCTGCGTAAAAGTGTCAGCCTCAAGAACTTTCTTGGCCGGCGCCGTGGCTCAATAGGCTAATCCTCCAATTTGCGGCGCCGGCACACCGGGTTCTAGTCCCGGTCGGGGCGCCGGATTCTGTCCCGGTTGCCCCTCTTCCAGGCCAGCTCTCTGCTATGGCCAGGGAGTGCAGTGGAGGATGGCCCAGGTGCTTGGGCCCTGCACCCCATGGGAGACCAGGAAAAGCACCTGGATCCTGGCTCCTGCCATCGGATCAGCGCGGTGCGCCGGCTGCAGCGGCGGCCATTGGAGGGTGAACCAACGGCAAAGGAAGACCTTTCTCTCTCTGTCTCTCTCTCTCACTGTCCACTCTGCCTGTCAAAAAAAAAAAAAAAAAGAACTTTCTTGTGGCCCCAAATTGTCTCTGTGTCCCTGAGTCTCTGGCCTGGTGTGTGACTCCTGCACGGTGATAAAACCGTGGTCCTGAAATCACATGGGCCCTAGTGCAAATCCTGGCTCT